ATTTAAATTCTTTTGAAGACAAAGCATTTATAACTTCGTGTTTGTAGATAAAACTTAGGAAAAACACACAAGTTACTTTGGATCTTCTGAGACAGTAACCAAAAAGAAAGGAGCAAATGAAGAATAAAGTTTTCACAAAATTGCCAAAACAGGATAAGCTTGTTTGTGATTCTTTACCCCTATTTACAGACAATTGTCCTTTAATTTACTGTGACATCTGATCGGCTCTGACAAAGACATGAAATTCCAAATTCCTGTGTCTGGAGTTGGAGCTTTGGGGTTTAGAAGAATGTAGCAGCCCTGTTTAATGAAGCCCAGAGCCATGGATTCTCTAATTAGTCAATTCCAGTAATGGCTTGGAATCCAAAGTTAGACAAAGCAGCTAAATACCTGATGGCTACCAATCATGCTCTCTTCTTCATGGGAAAAATACCAGCAACTTATTTAGCTGACTGTCAAGGCCCCAATTAGGGGAACAATTAAGGGGAATTCACTCTGAAGTGGATTGAATTAAAGAATGATTATCTTACAATTTATAGATTTATTGTCTCAATAAAAACTTGACCTTTCTTTAATGAGGATGTAATGAAAAAACCTTTAGTTTGACCAAAGAATAGTGAATCACTGAAACTCAGAAGGTCAAATTCCAGTGAAATAATTACAGGTCAGCCTGTAAAGAAAAGCTTACTGATTATCCATATGGGAAATAATCAATCTCTGGTAGAAAAAAACAACTTTAGAGCTAATGCCGCAGATGCTGAGGTTTTTAGTCAGTTATGTTTGTTAGAAACAGAAATGTTCAGAAATGTATTTTTCAAGTGAGGAGCGGAGGTTATAGGCTGCAAAAACTGTCCATCTAACCAGGTCCTACAGTCTTATATGTAGTCAAAAAGTCTTTTTGATCTTTTATTCAGATTGATATCTAATCAAGAGCAGATTGTGTTGGATTATTAATCTTCTTTTGAGAAGATTCTACTTGAAATAAGTGTAATAATCTACCAGTGCTGTAAGACTTTTTAAAAACATGATATATCATCAGAGCAGGAAAGTGTGTCTGTACCTAAGAAATATATGGAAAATTTGGTTACACACATGGACAAAATTGTTGGTTTGTTGGTTTGCAAAACAAAAAACAAATCAGCGATAACAGAATGACTTGAATCTGACAAAATAATAATAAATAAAGATAAATAAAGATATAAAGAGAAAAAAAAATGAACAAATGAAAGTCAGATGTTTCTTTTCCACAAAGTTTTAAATGAATGATTTAAAAAAAATAAATAAACTCATGGACATGGCCTGGACAAAAATGATGGCACCCCTGGAAAACACTTAAACTAATGTGACTAAAGGGACGTATTAAATCAAGCTGTGTCCATTAGGCAAGGCAAGGCAAATTTATTTGTATAGCACAATTCAGTACAAAGACAATGCAAAGTGCTTTACATGATTAAAATACAGGAAGATAAAACAGAATCAAAGCAAGTAGGAAAAAAATTAAAAATAAATAAAAAAAAAATTTAAAAAAAATGCAGAAACAAAAAAGAATATTAAAAACAGTTGGGTTAGCGTTTGATAAAAAATTTCTCCTTGGGCAGTTGACAATTCCCTAGAACCTTGCCTTTTGTTCTACTACCATAGAACTGCAAAACCTTTCCCATTATCTACGGGTGATTTAACTCTGCCCGATATGCAATTTAATTAGCAATTTAATTTAATTAGCATCACAGGTGTTTACAATCTTGTGATCAGTCAGTGGGTCTGAGTCTACAGGTAGTCACTGTGCTGTTTGTGGACGTGGTGTTTACCACACTCTACATGGACCAGAGGAAGCGAAGGAAGGAGATGCCTCAGGAGATAAGAAAGAGAATTATAGACCAGCATGTTAAAGGTAAAGGCTGTAAGAGCATCTCCAATCAGGTTGATGTTCCTGTGATATCTGTGCAGATATTATTCAGAAGTTGGGACTTTAGCCAACTTCTATAGACATGGCTGCAGGAAGAAAATTAATGACAAATCAAAAGAACAGATAATACAAATGCTAACATAGCAGCCAAGAACATCTAAAGAGATTAAAGGTGAACATTAATGTGAAATTGCAACGTCTTCAACGTTTCAGCCAAAGTGGACTTAAAAGGAGGCAACCAAGGAGGGCGCTTTTGGAGGAATGTCCTATGGAGAGAGGAGACTAAAATTCTGCTTTCAAGGCACATCAGCTCTATATTCACCGACAGAAAAATAAAGCATATTAAGAAAAGAACACTGCCCCTAAAACATGGAGGAGGCTCTGTTATACTCTGGGCCTGCTTTGCTTCTTCTGGCGCAGGGTGTCTCGAATCTCTGCAGGGTACAATGAAATCTAAAGAATATCAAGGGATTCTAGAGAGAAATGTGCTGCCTAATCTCAGAAAGCTTGGTCTCCATTATGGACCCAATGGCCCAAAACACACAGCTAAAAACAGACAAGAATGGCAAAGAGTGAGAGTGACCTAAATCCTATTGAGCATCTTCAGAAGGAGCTGAAATATGCCGCCTGGAAACGAAACCTTTCAAACCTGAGACAACTGGAGCAGTTTGCTGATGAGGAGTGGGAACAAATTACCCACTGAGAGGAGCAGGAGTCTAATTGGCAACTTAATGATTTGATTGCAGTGATTGCCTCAAAAGGTTGTGCAACAAAATATTAAGTTAAGGTTAGCATCATTTTATCCAGGCCTGTTTCATGAGTTTATATTTTTAAATCATTCTGGTTGAACCTTGGTTGAAAAGCCATGTATTGTAGGTCTCATTTTCACCGAATTTCTCAGATTATTGATATTTCTGTTGATATTGTTGGTTTTTCTATCCATAAGTGAGGCATATCAACAATTTTTGTCAAAGTGTGTTTTTTTTTTTTTTTTTCCAGAAGGCACAATTAGAATAACATCAATACGCATGACATGTGCTCTGCTGAAGAGTTTGACTCTTCTTGCAATTAGAATAACTGTACTATTGTGTTATTCTTAATAAAACTGAATGGGATGATCTTTTCTGTTTCATGGGACCATGCATGCCTTCAAATCAAATGTATACACATGCACACACACTCAGCCGCAAGCTCACACACACTTGTTGGGGGGTGTTTTCTCCCCTCTGCCTAGCCTGGGATTTGCTGGTTGGTGACATGCCTCCCTCCGCCTGGCTCTTTATAGCTCTGGAGGAGTCAGGAATCCCGGACGATTGGTACGGACATCGCCGACTGCAACCACAAACAAGGAGAAAGTTTCCCTTTAAATATCGTCTCATGACTGTTTTAGAGAGACAGGAGACCGGAGGACTGAGCCAGAGGCTGACAGCCAGGGAGAGGGGCTACTGGAGGAAGCAACTGACAGAAGAGCACAAGCTGGCTGCAGGGTCTGAATGCTTCCAGTGACATCAAACTGCTGCTGCTTTACCTGTCCACAGGTACTTTTTGTACATTTAACAAATCAAATTTGGAATATTAAAACCTTATCACTAGATTTTTATTACTAAGTTGCTCCTACTAGTTTGATGTTTAATAATGCAGGGTTGGAAAAAGTCTTGTCAAAAAGCATGCCTAACATTTAAATAATTAGAAATCATGTTTTATTTCCGAAACAAAAAAATTATATTTATGAATATCCTAGGAAAGCATTTTAGTCATGCTTTATTCATGCATGCACATGTAATACTTGGATTTGATATCGCTCTGATATAAAAAAAAAACTGGAACTGATAACACTGATTCATCATTCTGACCAAGTCATTTCTATTATTTCTCGAGTATATATGCAGCAACAATGTTACAGCGATAAATCGACTTCGATTCTATCATTGCAATATGGATTACATAATCACAGAGATCAAAAACAGCCACTCATGATTTATATCTCTGTAAATGTGTTACCTTTTTATTTTAACAAAGTTATATTAAGCATGATGCTGTTACTCACATTAGTAGCTATAAAGTTTATTCATTCAACAGTTGTATTGTATCGGTATCGGATATCGGCCGATATGCTCAGCTCATGTATCGTATCGAATTAGATCGGGAATAAATGGTTTGGTCTTTAAATGTAACTTCAAGTTGTTGGGAATTTTTGTAATAGTTGTGATTAATGTTATTTCTTGCATATGAAATACGTCACCATCTTTTTAAAAAAAAAAATTTAAATAATTAAAAATCCTAACGTTTTTTCCTATCTCTGGTCCTACAGGTGTGATTTCTGGATTAAATCCTGTGGACTATATCTGAGGACATGTGTCGTCTGTCTTTGGCCTCACTTTTCGTGTTCCTCTGGTTGCCAGAGAGGAGCCACTGCACCAGCAGCTTTCAGGACAGCATGAGGGAGCTTCACAACCGGTTTGCAGTCAGCCTCTACCAGAGCCTCACTGAAACAGAGAACAGCTCCAACCTGATTGTGTCTCCAGCCAGCGTGGCCCTGTCCCTGGCCCTGCTGCAGCTCGGTGCCAGGGGCAACACCCGGGCTCAGCTGGAGGGGACGCTGGGATACAACGTGAATGGTAGGCTTTAGTCTTGTTTTGTACTAAGGGGGAAGGTGGGAGTTAGCTGCTCATTTCGCTGTGAAAAGGGGAGCTGGAGAGGTTTGTCGGTGGCGCTCAGTGCTGTTGGTACCAGGTGGCGTGGAGCGGTGCTGCTGCTGCCGTTGGCCCTGCAGAGAACAGCGGTGTCTGGAGCCGTAATACCTGCCTCCACACCAGCTCTAATCTCATTAACCACTCCTGCAGCTTGGCCTCGGACGAAGGGTCAGGAGGCCAGTGTGTTTCATTACCAATGAAATGACTGATAAAGCTCCTCTTTGCTGCCTGATATCATCTTACAGGTCAAGATAGCTGGAAAATCTGATCATATGTTGCCCTTTTTACCTAACCTGGAACTTTGGATTCCTAACTCTAAATATATGTTGCTTTAACAATTGTTGGCCCCCTGGTAAAGGTCTGTAAGTTGTCTTAAAATGCAAACCCCTTCTTTAGTGGTAGCATAGTCACACATAAAAAAAAAGGAAAATTCTAACCTTTAGTTTGAGTTTTTTTTATTATGTGAATAAAGAAAATGTTTTATTCATGTAATAAAAGGCTTTTAACAAATACATAAAAATAGGACCCACAGCATCACAGGGCCTCCACCCTACTTGGTAGAGGATATTGTTTTGTTTTTTTTGTTTTTTTACAGCAGACCCACCAGGAGTATCACATTAAACAAAATCTGGTAGAACAAAACGTCATGTTAAGCAAACTGTCCATGTTTACGGTTCTAAATGTTTTAAAGAAAATGTATTTTCCTACCATTCCTCCCAAGCAACCAGCTACTATAACATTTATCTCAAGGTTGCTATGCAGGTTTTTCTCAGCTAACTAACGGTGTCCTTCACTGGTTTTATTTGTCTATGTGTTTTACTCCCTTACAACCTTTTCCTGCTTCACTTAAGGATCCAGTTAAACACCTGAAATAGTTACTGTAATTGTAGATAATGGGAATCAGCTCATTTACTGTAGCCCATTTCTGACACATAGATAAAATCACATCTACCCTACTTCATTGGGAATGTTTTCTTTTACCTTTCCTGTTTTGAAGAAACTCAAACAGTAAATTGACTGGAGTCATGTATGTGATGGTGTCTTTAGGCATAGTGAAAATGTAAAGTGACTCTTACCCTGCCATTTCTATTAAACTACTAATTCTATTGCAAAGCACGTTATAGGTCTGTAACCTCTTTCCTTAAGACCGAGACCGAGGAAGGAGGGGAGCTGGAGTCAAACTTGCAACCTTTTGATTATCAGTTGGCAACCCTTGATAAGCTTAAAGGTATAGTGGAGGATGTTCTTTTTCCAGGTGGATCATCAAAATAAGTGGTCCTCCTAATTGTTCCGGTGATATGTTTGCGTTAGCCCGTCCTACGTGCTCGCATCCATTTTCACTTACCGGTGGTGAGTCTGACAAAGTGGAAAAATTGCAAATCAAGTAAGCTTGTATGGGCAATGCAAACATTAACTTTTAAACAGAGCGTGCATGAAGAGGAATGGGCTCATGCATGCTCCCGAACAAACGTGTTTATTAGGCGTTCCCTCTAGGGAGCAGGTACAAGGTTGTGCATGTGCATTTTTTTTTAAATTGGATAGGGTGGGTCTTTTAAAAAGTTTGCAAAACTCCTCCACTATTTTAAGTCCTGGATTATTTATAAAAAGTTTCCAAACTCTGATCAATCAAAAAATACTAAACAAATACTAAAAGTACCCACTGGAGAATTTACAGTGACATAGTTAGAATAAAGAGAATAAGTTTTAGAACAAAATTGATCTAAAATATTAATGAAACTTGTCACTGTTAATTCTAAACCATGAAGAAGTGGAAGAATCAGAATGATCAATCTAAAATGAGCTATTATTTATAAAGATAGCACGGAGGAGATGATGTGATTTTTTTTTTTTTTATTTTTTTTTGGTGAAATGCTCATTGCTTTTCAGAGTAAATCTAACCTACAGCACTTACCAGCTTGAATGCCTAAAAAGCCTTAGTTTGATTGTATGGGATCCCCATAAGATGTATTGTGGAATTTAACAATTTGCTACTGAAACTTGCAGGCGAAGTAACAATGCAGAGACAACTGCTAATTTATCGCTCTTAAACGAGGTAAGTGAGACATGAAGGAAAAACACTCTTGCATTCTTGTCTGTCTCTGCAGACGCCCAGGTGCGAGACTTCCTGTTGCTCACCCAGGGCGACATGAGCAACAGCAGCCAGGGGGCGGGGCTCCAGCTAACCTGCACCCTGATCATCCAAAGTGAAGTCCAGCTTCAGGCTGAGTTCATCCAGAACGCTGCAGCCTTGGTCAACGCCAGCGTGGTTCGAGCCAACTTCAGCCAAGCTAATCCCAATCGCATCCATTCAGAGACATCAGGACGTAACCACGGTGACCCTGACAGCTTTATTATGCACTTTTACTGCATACCATATATTAGACTGGCATCAGTGGTGGAAAAGTAAATCCTCCTAATAGGGTCAAGTAACTGTGTGTTAAAATCATTGAATTTATTTACCTAATAGCATTTGTTACCAATTTAAATTGGTTTTCTGTCTTATTTATTAATTAATACAGTTTGAGTACATTTCAACAGTTAATATAATCATAATCATTTGTCAAAGGGTAATAAACATGCCTAAAAAAACGTGCCTGTTTGAGGAGTTTTGTTAACCCCAAAGCATATTGGGGCAAATGATTTAATTCCTTATCTTACTTCAGCATTACCTTACAAAAACACTACACACAGGGTTCTACATTGAAACCTTTTCAGACTTTTGGTAAACACAACCTCAGTGTACTTTATTAATTTTATCTAATGGGTTAAATCAAAGTTGGCTGGAAGATGAAGCATATAAACCCCAAACATGCCATCCCTATTGTGAAACATGGTGGTGGCTCTAGAATGATGTGAGGACTCTTTTCCTCAGCAGTGGCAGCTTTCTATGGGATATACTGTAAACCTGTGAAATACTTAGATTTGTGAGACTCTACACACATGGCCAAAACTATGTGCTAAAATGGCCTAGTCAAAGTCCAAAACTTCCTCTGGCAAAGAAAGAGTCCACAAATTATTCCTGTGGGGTTAAATATAAATGCATCCCACACTTTTTATATTTATCTTTTTTTATAGCAAAGCCTGAAAAACAATATTCTTCTTCTGTTACGTATTAACTTATTTTGGTCTTTAAAATGAAACATGGTTGTATGAGCGTAACCTGACATAATCGGCTAAGTTTATTTAAGGTGTATGAATACTTTTGCAAGAAAGTGCACTTAAAACACCAGTGCTGTGATTCTCACTCGTATGCATATTACAAATTTACAAATCAATTCAGGTTAATCATAAACACCGGCTGACAACATCTGTCAATCAAAGGTGGGCAGTAACTATCTACATTTATTAATTCACAGTTACTTCAGCAACATTTTATAAAAATATGCTTTTAGAAGTATTTTTAGTGCTCTATACATTTTACTTTTACCTAATAGCTTAATAAAACATCCCTACTTTTACTGTAACTAAGTCAAACTGTGCTCCAAATGAAAAACATTCATATTTATGGCAAATTAAGTTAATAAATAAATTGGTTTTATGTTAAAACAAAATGTTTTGCCTGAAATGTTTCTTTTTTTATTCTTTTGTTGGTTTTAAATATTTCATTATAGTATTTAAAGTACCAAAGAATTACACATAACTTCACATTTTGGTCTTTATTACATAATTTCATATATCAGATGTTATGTTGATTTACTCAGTACATGAGTAGCCTTTTTAACAAATACCTTTTTACTCTTTGCTAAAAACAGGATTAAGTAAAGTTGCTTTTACTTTGGTGCAGTTTTTAGGTACTCTACCCACCTCTGATATCCATACACTAGAACAGCCAAAGGTGGCCCTCGAGTGCCGCCTTTCTGTAGGTTTTAGAGGTTTCCCTGCTTCAGCACAGCTGATTCTGATCGTTGCAGTTCAGCAAAACTTGTTCATCAGCTATCAACTGAAATCAGCTGTGCTATAGAAGGAAAACCACTAAAACCTGCAGGAAGGCGGGCCTCGAGGGCCGACTTTGGGCAGGCCTGCACTAGAAGATCGCACCTACAAAATCCAAACAAAGTTTGGTCCATGTTAAATCTCTTTAAAGAGAGAAAGTTAAAAAAAAGTATTTCTATTATATATATTTTTTCACACCTTTTAAACAAAGATAACACCACAGACATGCAAAGAACTCTGATGCTGATTAAGCAGAGTTGGAAAGTTGTTAGATTTAACACTTCTCTTGCTTGAAGGTGTTTTTTAAAGAAAAAAATATAACTTTTCTGCAAAAAGCAATGAGCTGTCCCCAACGGCAGACATGTCAGCTCTTTATAAACATGTTATTGCTGAGTCATCCCTACCAGCCTGAAAGAGCAGAATGATTACGGCTTGTTGTGGGCCCTCTGTCTTATTTACTACAGTTCATACTTTAACCTATGAAAACCTTCTTGTTTAAGCTGCTTATAAAGGGAGGATCTAAAGAATGTGTTCTTTGCCTCGTCCTAGATGAGTGGTGGCCTCTGAACTCAGGAAGCAGCAGCGGGGAGCTGTCAGGCTCAGGTGAGCCCCAGCCAGAAGCCCTCTGGTGGGGTCAACGTCCGCAGGTGGCTCTGATCAACACGGTGGCGTTCAGAGGCATCTGGCAGAAACAGTTTATATTTGGCAACACTCAGACGCTGCCCTTCATCCTGTCTGATGGGAGCACCATCAAGGTGCCCATGATGCACCAGACTGCAGAGGTCAGCTTTGGTGAGTGTCCCTCATCAGGTTTTTCCTTCCTGCACTAATCTTCCCATGAGCTCAGATCAGCTTCCCAGGATGCAGCACGCCGTGCTGTTGCCGCCACCATGTGGCTCGTTTGTGTGCTCAGTGCCACATGCCCTGTTAGTTTTCTGCTACACGGTAATTTATAGCAGGGGTCAGCAATCTGTTCAAAACTACCAGTAGGGACCTGTGAAAAAGTCATTTAAACTTTATGTGTAATAAACATATTTGTAAAGCTTTTATCTTGGATGTTCTTTAAAAAAATTGTATGAATTCATATTTGATTACCGTAAAAAGAGAAAGAATGAGAGGGATAAAATGATGCAGCTCCTTGGTAGTTGGTCCTGGTCTATGTGAAAGCTGTGAATCACAGGATTTCTTGTCTATTTCAGTGACCCGGTTCACTGAGTGAAAGTTTTATAAGTTAATTTCACTCAGGCGTACGTTTCCAAACCTTCTTCTCTGTCAACTCTTTATTCATTTCAACTATAAACAGTTTTCTGATTACAGCGTTAACAATACAGCATACTATTTGAGATCAGAGCGGTAAAGACTTTTTCTTTTTTTTTTTCCAGGACTTTTTAAATGAAAAACATGGTCTAAGTAAAAAGTATGTTTAATACAGTGGTGTCAAAAGTACACACATTTGTTACTTAAGTAGAAGTATAGATACTGCAGTTTCAAAACACTCTGGTAAAAGTTGAAGTATCAACTTGAACTCTTTACTCAAGTAAAAGTATGTGCTCCAAAAACTACTTCAAGTATTAAAGTATAAAGTAATCTTTAAAAAAAAACAGCCAAATGCCACTATATGAATTGAAAGCTCAGTTTTTCGACTATTTCAAAAAACTTCTTTAAGATAGGGCCAAGGATGAGGGAGGTCTTGTTGGTCTCCGTCTCCCGATACGCTCTCCCCTGTGTACGACCTTTCAGACATTTCAACATCTTTTTCTGAATCCAACATTGTAGCATGGCATAGACAATTCACTTTGGCAGTTTGAAGAACACCTGCTTGCTTCTGATGATTTCCTTTAGCTAACCAATGAGTGTTTGCGTTACATGACTCATCCAATTACACTAGTTTTCACTAGATGTGGATGGAGCCAATCATCTGCTTTGCATGGCGCACATGACGTGAAATAAATATTTATAAACATTAAACCGAAGCCAAAAGTAATGAGTAATGTTTGTTTTACAAATGTAAGGAATAGAAAGTACAGATAACTGTGTGAAAATGTAATGAGTAGAAGTCAGAAGTAGGAAGAAAAATAAGTAATGGAGTAAAGTATAGATACATCAAGTGTACATAAGTACAGTAACAAAGTATTTGTACTTCTTTACTTGACACCTCTAGTTTAATATCTACATAAACATTCAAAAAAGAAAATGAAAANTTGAAGAACACCTGCTTGCTTCTGATGATTTCCTTTAGCTAACCAATGAGTGTTTCCGTTACATGACTCATTCAATTACACTAGTTTTCACTAGATGTGGATGGAGCCAATGATCTGCATTGCGTGGCGCACATGACGTGAAATAAATATTTATAAACATTAAACCGAAGCCAAGAGTAACGAGTAACGTGTGTTTTAAAAATGTAAGGAATAGAAAGTACAGATAACTGTGTAAAAATGTAATGAGTAGAAGTCAGAAGTAGGAAGAAAAATAAGTAATGGAGTAAAGTATAGATACCTAAAAAGTGTACATAAGTACAGTAACAAAGTATTTGTACTTCTTTACTTGACACCTCTAGTTTAATATCTACATAAACATTCAAAAAAGAAAATGAAAAACAATCCACTGGACTTTTTTTTTCCAAGTTTGTAGACGTTTCGCTTCCCATTCAGGAAGCTTTTACACTTTAAAATGTGTGGAATAGCATTGAGTTTGAGGTTTTATAGAGTATATAGGAGAAACCAAACAACCCCTCCACAGACGCATGGCCCAACACAGAGGAACCAGGGGTGTGGAGGTGATACAGAGTCTTGTCCGGAGGACGTGGCTCTTCTGTGTTGGGTCATGCATCTGTGGAGGGGTTGCTTGGTTTCCTCCTATATACTGTATAGTACCTCGAACTCAACGGCATTCCAGACATTTTAAAGTGAAAAAGCTTCCTGAATGGGAAGCGAACGTCTTCAAACTTGGAAACAAAGTCCAGAGGATTGTTTTTCATTTTCTTTTTTTGGAATGACTACAACCGCCATCATAATATCTACATAAAGTTTATATTAATCAACAAAACAAGCCTCATGGAACCTTTTATGTCATTCTATGGCAGCCTAAGGATGATGGTCCTCCTTCAGCTCTGGATCTGTGCAGTTCCTCCAGAGTTCCAACACTTTGGTTCCTGGTTGATGTTCTCTTTTCGTGCTCCCTGCTTTTGTCTAGATCTGTGTGAGATGTTCAAAGCTTGGGCATGCTTGTTTCATAATCTAAACCTTCTTTAAACCTCCCCTTAAAACTCAGCAGTAGATATACTGAGCTTTAATGACCTATAAGTCAACTTTTAGTTGACAATGCAGTTGTTTGCATTGGATTTTATTTAGGGGTATCAGTAAAAGGGGACAAAATAAAAGTGCAGTTTTATTATTTAAAGCAAATTAATTTAATTTAACTAAATTGGAATAAAGTTTGTGATTTGCACCCCACAGGTCAGTTCAGGACAGCATCAGACCAACGTTACACGGTGCTGGAGCTGCCGTACTCGGACCGCTCCCTGAGCCTGCAGGTGGTTCTGCCCAGTGAAAGGAAGAGCCCACTCTCCTTCCTTGAGTCCCTGCTCACTGCTCGTCAGCTGGCCTCTTGGGACTCCGGCCTGCGAAGGACCAAGATGGACATTTTCCTGCCCAGGTGATAAACCGGCACTGAGGTTAAAGGTTTTAGACTTTCGTACGCGGCTCAGAATTCATAATGTGGTTATATTCAGATTCAGAATGCAGAAGAAGTTCAGCCTGAGGTCGGTGCTCCCTGCTCTGGGCATCAGTGACGCCTTTAACCCGACATTAGCCGACCTGACAGGGATATCAGGTCAGTTGATCACTTATTTGCACTCTTCATATAAAAATGAAATAATCTCAACTAGGTCAACTGATAATTTTTGGATTTGATTCCTTGCAGCTGAGGAGGGTCTTTATGTTTCTGACGCCTTCCATGAAGTCAGAATTGAAGTTACAGAGGAAGGGACGAAGGCATCTGCTGCAACAGGTCAGCAGGGTCATGCATTCATTTGTATAGGAAATCACTAAACCAAGTAGATGGATGTCAAGTGACTTTTTTTCCATCATTCCAGCCATGGTGCTACTGAAACGATCCCGTGCTCCAGTTTTTAAGGCGGACCGGCCTTTCTTGTTCCTCCTTCGGCAGGTTAACACAGGTACCTAGTCTAGAAATACCATAGCTATATAAAAATCATTTGATTCTCCTGTGAACCTCAACTGATTGACTTATTTAAAGGATGTATCTAGTAATCCAGCAATCTCAAATAGCTGAAAAGAGGAATTCTTGTCCTGAAAATAGCCAAGATTAAATTAAAAATGTATCATACGTTAAATGCAAGGCAGATCCTCTTTAGCGAACTCTAGTGGGTAAAAACATGAAGAGTAATACCTAAGAATCATGGTGCACAACAGACTGTTAGCAGCTTATTATAAAGCTATGGTGAATTTTGTCCAGTGGTTTGGATTGTGGATTTAATTTAGTGAAAAACATGGGAAGAAATAAATAACTTTATTTAAGGAAGGTTAACAAATGTATGGAAAGCTATGAGAAAAACTGGAAATGGGAAGGGCAGTGAATCCAGAAAGTATTCCTTACTGTTAAACACATATTTAAGCCTTATTTAAAAATCAATTAGTTTTCTCTTAAACGCAAAAGGACATTTTATTTTTATTTTCAAATATGTTAAACTAAAAAAAAGAAAGGAAACCGCACATTTCTAAATTTTTTCAGCTTCGCCATGAAGGTTTATATTGAATCCTGTTACTAAAACTTATTTGGAGTAAACCGGGTATTAATTCAATTGACTGGAAAGGATTTGGATCATTATTGTGCGTATAAGATTCCACATCAAAGCAAAATGTCTGTGGAGCTTAGAGACATTTTTCATTCTCACAGTGACATCAGTCATCTATAAATGTAACCCTAAAGGATTATAGTTGGAGGAAATAGCGGCCAAAGTCATTTCTACAGTAAAGCATGGTGGTGGCAGTATTATGAATATCAATAGAGCAATCCTAATTGTAGCTGAATCGTCAAGACTTGATTCCGAATGAAAATTGCTAAGCAGATCTGAGGATAGTCGTGCATCATTTCACCATCTGACCTGCTGGCTGGTAGCATGATACAGACTTCATGCTTCTGAAGGTGCATCAACAAAGTATTAAACAAGGACTAGAAATATCTCTAGCTTTAAGGTAATATCCTTTAGAGGTAAAACAAAGATATTAGAATAAGGCCGTCTGAGCCAATTGTTCATTTCTATAAACATTACTGTTCTCTGAATACATGTTTTTCTTTTTTAACCCCATTTTATATAACATTTAGCAGTCTGATGGCTTCGAAGAATCTAATGCGTCTTCAAACTTGGAAACAAAAGTCCAGAGGATTGTTTTTAATTTTCTTTTTTGGTAATGTTTATGTAGATATTAAACCAGAGGTGTCAAGTAATAAAGTACAAATACTTCCTTGATGTATCTCTACTTTACTCCACTAATGCAGCTTCTTCCCTGCTGCCATTAGACCGCTGAATGTTGTATATATAAAAAAAAGTGCTGAATGTTGGATGCTGTAAATCATATACGTCTTATGTTTACATTTTATCCCTGCAACACTTTAAAAATGGAAATATCTTGAGAGCTGTGCTGAACAAAATTTCTTTTTGTATAAACTCTGTGTGACAAAGTCCATCTGAGTTTAAGATATGGGAAATGTCCCACACAAATGTCAGTAATGTCTGCTCTCCTTCTCAGGCTCCATCTTGTTTATGGGGAGAATAATGAACCCTGCAGACCAAGTAATATAACACTCCTCTAAGCCCCGCCCCCAAATCGCACCAACCAGTTCCAGCAGCAGTATTTATTTATGGACCAAATGGACAATACCACGATGCCGAAGGAGGAGGGATGTTACTTTTTGTAAATACATGTAAATAAAATTTTATGTTTTTACACATTGGGTGTATTTATTCTACAGTTCTGCTACAAATAAAAAATAAAATCTCAAAGAGTCACATGTTTATGGAACACTTTATTTACATGGCCCTTCACAGTGTAAAATAGAATCTTTATTTATGGAAATAATTACAAAAAGGCCATTCTCCACCGAACATTTCTCTTTAAATAGTACTCTAAGGTATTTACATCTTTACAGTGTATTCAAAATACTCTTTTGGTAGCGGCCTCTTCACAAGTAAAAGACAAGTATGGCAGATTTTGGTCCCTTTTCGGGGAGGAGGGGATGTTTAGCGGAGGAAGACGACGGCCACTGGAATCAGAAATCAACTTTTGACCTTTAGACCTTTAACCACCGGCGGTCTGTTTGTGTACATTTGAGAACGCTGAAATATTTCATTAAATTGCAACAAATACGTAGTTTATTATTATTTCTTAACTTACATTAAATAATTCTCAAATATACACAAGTGCAAATACAGTGAAGCGACAAGAAGTTGGTTTGAGATTCGTGGCAGAGGGTGGGGGGGGGGGTTGATGGGAGTTAGTAATTTGGCAGCAACCAAGACCCCACTCAATCACTGCTTTCAGCAGACCACAGTCCGTGTTGCATATCTGCCCTTTAAGGCTTTAATAAATAGGTGGGGGAGGGGGGACTCGATGTTATTGCTGAATCATTAGTCACAGTTCCTGAGCTTTTTCGTCCCCGTCTTCAATCCCTATCATAACCTTTCCTTCTCGGTTTAAAGGAAACTCGGAGGATCCTGAGAACCTTTCACTTTCTCCAACATCAAACATCAATAATCACCAGTTTGGAGCCAAATTAAGTCAGTTTGGGAGCTTAGTGAGTGGAGTGCTCTGGTTGGTGGAGTGTAGAAACAAATTCACCTCCTCATTCACACACAGAAAACTAAGAGTAGTGGGAGAAAATTGTTTTATGACCACTTCGGTGGATCCCTTTTGACCCTGGGTTGGAAACAAAACATATAATGCTCAGACTGAAACCATCTGCCACATTGTCACAGAAAAGAAAAGAAGAACATCACGCTCTGGTTGCAGGCCCTCATCTGATCCTCTCTGGAAAAGTCTTTAACTTCGACCCAAACGCAGGAGGTGTCTGTTAACTCAACTGTAACCAAAATGAGAGTTAGGCCCCCTGATGACACATAAACGGAGCATCTCTTTAGATCAGCATTAACACCCCCCTCCCCTTGATCTAGTTTGAAATTAAGACCCATTCAGAGTCGGACATACTGTCTACCATTGATGTGGATTTAATGACAGGTCAGCTGAAGGTGCTGGAGATCGTGGGTTCGGCCGTGTGTCGTCTTTGGGCCTTGGTTGGGGTGGAGATGTGGGGGGAGGGTCAGGTCTCATAGTAAAGTCTGTTTGGTTGGAGCCGGTCTCAGAGCATCTCCACGTGGTTCATGGTGTTGGATCTGTTGTGGATTTCCTCCAGGAAGTTTTCCAGCTGCTCGATGAGAACCCGCTTCTTAAACCTTAAGGCAGTGAAAAAAAAAGGAATATTTGAAAATGTACAAAAGCATCACTTAAAGCTTCTGAAGCCAAAGCAAGAGGTTTTTTTTTTTTATATAAAGTGCATTAAGAATGATTGCACAATCCTTGAAAAAAAAAAAAAAAGGATTATCTTTATGTGTGTAGGTCTGATGCACAAAACTAATTAATTCAATTTAAAGCTAAAATTTTTACCTTTTTTTCAGTTTGTATTAATGAAGAAAAACACGGATCTTTTAAATTTGGAAATGACTTTTGAGCATAAATGCATGGGAAACGAATTCAAACCACTTTTTTTGGGTGCAATTAACTGGTACTGGACTTTTTTTTGTGTCCCGATCCGATATGAATATCAGATATTGGCCAATAATCTAATATCGGATTTTATCGGCCTGTGTCTAAAATCTCTGATATTGTCGTGCTGATAGATGAACTCTGCTTCTGATTAACGTTTCTTATAACTCATGATTCACACTGATATCAAATGGATTCAATACTGGTATCGGTGAATTCTCTAAGCTGCAATATCGGTATTGTATTAGAAAAAAAAAAAAAGTTGTTTCTACCTCCTTACAACTTCCTTAATTTTTTAAGTTATAATTTGGACATACATCATATTAGGAACGTATTAGGAAATGTAAATAATCATCAATTAAAAAGCAGTTTTTATTGAACATAAATAATCCAACTTGTTCACTCTACCTCTGTAGGTGTATGTTTTATGTTGCTATACAGAAGGAAAAAGAAAACCGCACAGCTGTAGTATAAATTCAAAAGGTATCAGAATGGGTTTCTGTTTGTTAAGATGCTGTAGCAGATTTTCAGTCATTTGCACGTTCATGGCTCGATTCCGCCTGTCCTACGAACGCCCTCAGTCCTCTGCTGGATTTAGACCGAAGTAATGTTAATGTTAAAGGAGAAGTTCGGTTTTTTACACTTTAAGCCCATTTTCTGTAGTGTCCAGGATGAAATCGAATGATCGACACCAAAATTTTGACAATTGGTCCTGTCTCTGCTTTTTGGCTCATTTAGAATCCCCCCCTGGCTGCTTTAGAATGGCTTCCATAGAGCATGTCCGATAATGTCCTTAAAACAACCTTAAACGTTCTTTTTTTAAAATATGCTACTCACCGGGTCGTCAGCGCTGTTCAATGACGTTCCAAAAAAAGTTTCGTAAAGAAAAAACGTTCCTGTAGTGTTTTATTTAGCATTTTGTAAATCCCATTGAATTCTGTTGGAATAGTCAATATTCCCCTTTCCACCGGAAACGGAAATGGGGCCTGTTTACACAGTTGTAGTCTTTTCGCTTCACTCTGTGTACTCCGACGTCGAGAATCAAGAATCCACCTTTCGTATTCCATTTTCAGAGTTTTTTAAAGTGTTTAACAGAGACGTTAGCACCTCGACGTCGGAGTACACAGAGTGAAGCGAAAAGACTACAACTGTGTAAACAGGCCCCATTTCCGTTTCCGGTGGCAGCGGAATATTGACTATTCCTACAGAACTCAATGGGATTTACAAAATGCTAAATAAAACACTACAGGAACGTTTTTTCTTCACGAAACTTTTTTTGGAACGTCGTTGAACAGCGCTGACGACCCGGTGAGTAGCATATTTAAAAAAAAAAGAACGTTTAAGGTTGTTTTAAGGACATTATCGGACATGCTCTATGCAAGCCATTCTAAAGCAGCCAGGGGGTGATTCTAAATGAGCCAAAAAGCAGAGACAGGAGCAATTGTCAAAATTTTGGTGTCGATCATTCGATTTCATCCTGGACACTACAGAAAATGGGCTTAAAGTGTTAAAAACCGAACTTCTCCTTTAATGAAGTTAAAGGAACAGATCTTTCCGTCAAAGTATCCAGTTAGAGAGGATCTGAGCTTTGTGACATCAGATTGGAAGAAACCATGGAAACGCTGGATATAAAATGTTTCATTAATGCACCGTTTACACTGCCTCTCTGAAACTGATCAGTGCCGAGTTTGGACCGAGTTTGGATAAGTTAACCGTGCTGAGCTTGGTTCCTTACGCCCATCTACACATCATGCTAACATGGTTCCTTGCTTCCTATTGGCGATCCAGGATACTACAGCAATCAAGATGGGGATTGCGCAAACAAAAACATAACATTCAGGAACTCATGTGCTCTGATAGAGTCCTCCACCCAAATTTTCAATGAGAGCCACGGTCTCTGCATCATCCCAGGTCGCACCACGCTCTTTATAAGCCATTTATTATTAATAGGCTGAGAAGAGGTTTGTGTTACGAAGAGATCTGTGAATTACAAAGCTGGACACGCCAGAAAACCTGCAGAATGAGCCAGCTGACTGTAAATAGGGGATGACGCGATCTGCTTATGTGCTCTTTGTTATCAGAGAACTGAGCCACGACTGAACCAAATCAGCTGTTTGCCATTTACACCCAACAGTTACCTCTGTTGGCGTGGTCGGACCATTCTCCGCATGGTTTTAAAAGGCTAGTGTAAATGCACCTATACTCAGCAACAATATTTAGATTATGTTGTTTTTAAACAATGTTAAATTCTTACCAAGAAGCCCAAAGCATATCAATAAAAATAATACATTTTTAAACCACCACCAGCCTGAACAGCTGATGATTGGAGGCAGGATAGATCCATCAAACTGTGCTCAGATGCCTGCAGCTTACATCCAGATGACAACCTTTTTTTTTCTTATTACTGTTTTTAAAGACCCATTCTCTATTACATCAAAGAGATGTTTGTGTGTAAAGATCAGAGTAGGTCACCAGTTTTGGACGACGTGGTGGAAGAGAGCGTCTGTTCGTTAGAAATGTGGGTGAGATGGTTAGGGAAACTCTAAACTTGGTACCTGGCGGCCTCTTTGATGATGTTTTGGAGGAAAATAAGCCGAGTGTCCAGCGTGCCCTGGATCTGCTTCAAGAGGAAGAAGATCTTCTCATAGTCTGAAACACGGGAAAGAAAAAATAAAGTTAGACCAGAGTAAAAACTCAACTATTTTGATCAACAGTAAGTTCCCTATATCTGCAGGGTGCATATTCTAATTGAAAAACATTCAACACGAAGTAAATTCATGTTACCCTTCTATCTCTGTGCTATACACAAATTATAACATTTGACTTGGACTGATTATGAAAAGTTATTAAAATGAATAAATGCATAAAACAACTGCAGCTATGAAGCAAAGCAACATTTAACAAGTCTGTGCAGAATCTCAAACCAGAACAAACGGAGAACTTTTATAGGTCTATATTAAAAATCATATCGTGGGTAAAGTATTCTTTTTTTTTTATGTTTCATTGACTGTTTTTGCATGAGTCTGTCCCACTTGCTATATTTGTTTTGTGCGAATGCAAAACTGACCGTTTCCGAGTTTGATGAACTGATTTAAATTTGTGTTTTCCCCCAAAGTGGATGTGTTTCACTTTGTAACGGCGTCTCTCTTCCTGTTAGACCCTTGGAATTGACACTGAACTGCTACTGGGATCCATCCCAGTTGGAGCTAAGCAAGCCTCCTCATTGACCTTCAATGAGCGCTAAACGCGACGACCGTCCGACGCAATTTTGTCGGATAGGACGCAAAATGGGAATCAATCCTTCACCTATTCACACACATTTACATTCTAAAGAAATGTGAAAAGTGCTCTAATGATTCCTGATTTTTTTTTGGAGAAGAGAGTCAATATAATGTTGAACTCTACAGAGACAAGCTTATAACTCCCGGAGCAAATGTTTTAGGGCTTAGGAGATAAAAATACGGCTATAATTTAATTACAGGAAGCAAAAAAAGAATAATAAAGAAAAGTCAGATTCCTGAAAAGCGCAATTATCAATTGTATAGTAAATTTAAATGTCAAATGAAATATAAATAAGCAAGCCATGAAATATGCATATGTGAGACTATTTCATATATGTCCAATTAAACAAATATACCAATAACTTGTAAAATGCAACATTTAATAATTAAAGTTTTCTGTTTATGATTTAATTTTTGGAAAATCTGGATTTTTAAAACCTACTCATAATGCTCATAAAGTTCTTAGAAGTGGATTCATAAGTTATAAACTAGGTCACTGTGTGATACTACAAGCTGCAAGCATTTAGTGTTATATTTCCAATGTTTGTTGTGAAACATGCTTGTTTTATCTAATTTTTCACAGATTTAGATTAAGGTCACCTACAGAGCGGATGATTGAAATAAAAGTTAGTTTTTGAAAGAAATGTATGTCAACTGAATTCTTGTAAAGCTTAAGAAAAAATGAAAAATAAATAAAATAAAAGCGAGTATTAGGATTTGGTGGGAAAACGATTGAAATATGAGATTTTTACAACAAGCGTTATGACAGAGTGGTTATTAAAGCAGGTACTGGTCATTGTAGCAGCGTGAGAAGGAGCCACGTCCATCTGGAAATAAAATGATGGGTCTTCATGAAGCTTTTGAGCAGAGAGAAGCTTAAAATGCTCTGAAATGTCTGAAGGTTAGCGTCTGTTAAAAGAAAACTCTGTGTTATTGTAACACGTGTTAGAAAGACTGAGAGAGAACCTTGTTTAGTTTCTTGTTTCAGCCCGGACCGCTATCAGTGTGACACACGCCGAATCTTTTTTCTTCATGGTGGATATTTGTGTGCATAATAAATAAAAGCATACTCATATGCTCCATGAGCCCAGCATGTAACATGTGTTTCACATGTAATTATGCATCTTCGCCTGTTATGCACCATGTTCTGTGTTTGGAGCTATAATAAAGCTGCCGATCATTATCTCCGGTCTCCTGATTCTCTAACCGGAATCTCCCATCCATGGTGCCACTTCATTCAGCATTCCTATTCTGACTTAAACTGTAGAAGAGTTTTCTACAACACGGCTGTGCCGACTTTGGACTTGATGAACCCCAGTTGCCATAAAGCAGAAGACAACATGTCATTAAAACCATCCCTGACTGTCCAAACTTCACACTGGATCTGAAGCCTTTCTGGGACATTAAAAACTAAAAAAAAGGCGAACAAGACATCAATCTGTAAAGAGGACTTTGAGGCAAAGGCCAAATCTTTAATTTCTGTCATCTTTCTTCCTCAAAACCTTCCATTAAAAAGCCTGGATCCAGCACTCTAAGAACCACCATCCTCTTATAGCGATGACCTTAAAGACCGATTCAATAACTGTCTGCTAGACGAATGTAAAGTCGGCAGTTTTCCATGTGCGCTTTAGATTTCGTCTCTGCAGAGTTTCTAATTATCTTAGAAATTTAAAATGTTTCTTATCAGAGGTCAGCTGATGAATAGAGTAATCTGTCCCTGTTTAGTCAATCCATATAATCTGTAAGTTTCTCTTTTAGGGCTGAACGTTTTAATGTTTTTTTTTTTAGTTTACTGGGATAATTCAGTAGCTTAGCGTTAGCTTAGAACAAACATGTCCACCCATACATACGTCTGCCAGGTTTCCTGATCTCCTTAGTGATCTGCACCCTCAGCTCGTTGTTGACCTTTGTCGTTTCGCCGTGGATGTGCTTCTTCAGGGCAGCGGGCGACAGGAATCGGGTCGTCTGGTCCTCCATCACCACCATCTCCACCCCTCCCTCGCTGCCTGGCGGCTCGCATGTCCCCCTGTTTTCCTCCTCATCCTTGAGCCGGAGGAGCTGAGGATCTGCAGAGTTGTGGTTCTCCTGGACGTCGGCGGGTCCCGAGGGGTGATCCAGCTCTAGGTCGGAGCTGGAGTCGGAACTGTAGTGGTTCTGGTTAAGGTGGTTGATGATCAGGTCAGGTGCTCCGTCACTGATGTCCATATCTACAGGGGGAGACATTTAGGGGACGGATTTACCCATTTATCATGTTTATTTACTCAAGTTATTTTCTGAAGACATCTTTAGGTCTCTAAAACGGCGTTCTATGCTGAATGTCACCTGTTGAGTGGCGTGGGCTGGCGGGAGGGGTGACTGGAGGGGTGTAGGCCCTGCCCAGACGCAGAAGAGGCGACATGCAGCGCCGTCTTTTGGGACCGCCGCCCGGCATGTTGCTACTCTCCCCGGGTCGCTTGCCCTTGTTCTGTGGGCCGGTCACAAACTCGTCCGCCTCATCGATCATCATACCCTGAAAGAGCAATCAGCGTTAAATCGTTTCAGTGTGAATCTCCAACCCTCTTTAGTTCGTGTTTAGATGGATGTGTACCTTCTTGTCCAGTTTGAAAGGGTTTCCGAACGTGTGCAGACGTTTGGGCTGTTCGGGATCTGCGTCTCGGAGAGGCTGCGGAGCAGATTTGAGGAAGTCTTGGTAATTTCCCATCTGGGCGATTGGCACGCTGTGGAGCTGGTCTGGAAACAAGAGGAGCGGTTGGAACCATTAAAGGGGAAAAGCACGGAGGTGCGGGTTATCAACACTTTTTACTGAATGTTTACTGATCCCTCAGGAAGCACTGGAACTTCACCAGCTTTCTAAAAGAAAACCGTTTCCTGTGACGTCTGCAGGGAAGCAGAACGTAGGTAGGATGAATATTTTCTTACAAAGCTGCTTGCCTTAAACTTTTTTTTTTTTTATCTCTCTCAAGCAGAGCATGTGAGCAGAGCGTGGAGCGAGCGCTGGAGCAGGAGAAATATGGTGGAGCGCAGAGCGGTTTACACTTTAAAGACCGGAGCCAGGATTTCGCTCCACGCCGGTTCGCTCCGACTTTATCTAAATACATGTTTGACTTCAAACTAGGCCAATGCCTATGCTGTCTGTGCCTATCATCTGTTTTAGTCCATTTTTTAACTTTACAACGGAATCGCTGAAATGAAGATTGAATATTGTGCGATAAAAAGTGGGATAAAACATCATAAAAACACACTAACTATTCTTAACAATACAGAGTGGGTTTACCTAAAGTAATTGTGTTTTTGAAAATAGATCGCATACATGCATTATAGCTATTATCTCATTTGCAATGGGATGCAAAGTTACCTTATGTGTAATCTAGTGAAATGCATTAATATCATTAATATTTAAATAGGAAACGTGGGGCAACATGAACGGAGCGAGGTGTTACGTTCACAGCTGGGAAACAGTGCGATAATTTAACAGCGAGTTAAATAAGAAAATAAACATGTATCGGTCACATCATTCAATGAAACACCGTGTGTCCCAGGGACAAAATTACATGAAGGAAAAATGTCAGAAAATGCTTTTTCCTGGAAATTTGTGCGAGCGTGAAGCGATTTCTCCGGGCGGCGGTAAAATTAAGGTGATCGCCGAGCAGATTTTGAGGGGATCAGAATCAGAAATACTTTAATAATCCCAGAGGGAAATTACTTTTGTTACACGCTCCAGTTACAGTTTTGTATTATATATACACACATCCAACTATACAATATAATAAAGATAAAAAAAATAAAAACAAGAATAAAAAGTGATAAAATATATACACATATAGCTCTTCTGTATATATGGGGGCAATGCCGGAGAGAATGAGCGAACATCCTCCTGAGTGGGAATTGTAAGACGCTCCGCTCCGTTCACATGAGCTTTCTACACTGACTTTGTGGAACATTCCAGATTTAGAAAGAGTCTAAGACAGGAATTTTCCATATTGCTATAAATCGGTGATCACCCTCGGCAGCTAGGTTGGAAAAATATTAAAAATAGACCATGAGACTTATTTATATGATCTTTGTTGAAGAGAAAGTAAAGTGTTTAAACTTTGTTAATCTGGATACAAACCATACAACTCTGATCAGAGCTTCTCTCATTAACACATGAAGCCCATTTCCATGGATATTTACCGGAGTCCTGCCCTCGTAGAGTACAGACAGTGGTGTTGAGCAGGTTCCTCCTCATTCGGCTGAGCTGATCCAGCAAGTGGCTGCGTGGGATGTCGTAGGGGTTCCTGAAGCTCTGAGGCTTCAGGCCCTGAGAAGACGAGGTAAGAGGAGTTTAAAATACACCCAAAAACAACTCTAGTGCACTGTGATCATTGCTTCTTACTTTGTTGAGTAGTGCCAAGTGAAAACCCTGAAACTCTTTAGGGTTGAGCTCCATAGGCAGAGTGGGAGCCTCCCCTGTGAGACTCTGCAGCTGCTGGATGAAGTCCCTCCTCTGTGCTAAAGAGATGCCGCCTCCCCGCCATCGGACCTTGATGCCGGGCTCTGGAGGGGCTTTCTTGCCAATCGAGGCAATCAGGCGGTCGTACTCTATTTTTGTCTGGCAATGCAACAAAGATTTATTCTGTTAAAGTCTGTGTGCAAGGCGGTGACAGAGTCATCGAACCAGAGACCAACCTGCTGACTGAGCTTCTTCAGGTAGGACACCACGCTGTAGCTCAGACCGTACTCCATGTTCTCAGCCAGGAGGTTTGGTGCCCCCATTATTCTCAGGGCCTTTCTGAGAGACTGTGGGAGGAACAGATGGAGAGAGGACGTGATTTATTAGCCTTTGTTTAGAAAAAGTGGGAATAACCCAAATTAGCAGCATCAACTTACTCCGATATAATAAGGAGGCATGGTCTTCAAGTAGTTCTCAAAGGACTGCCTCCATTTCAGGGTCGGCTTGAACTTGTGCACTTTAATCAAGTCGTCTAGAGGAAGATCAAGCAAAACAATGTCAGACCATTGCTGCTACTACTACACTGATTTATTCCATTTATTCCAGCTTCTTGCTTTAATTCTGGTCAGTGGTGATTCATTCCTTTTGTGTTGGCCAGTACCCTACTTCTTTTATGATTTTAACTATACATTTATACTGTTCTTTTTCAGTCTGGAAACATTATAAAACCATCAGTGATTGTCATGGCACAGATATGGTCCTTGTTATCCCATTGAGGAGGCGGTTATTCCAAAAGTGTCCAATTGGACGAGTTTTTTTCTTTTAGATCCAATCATCTCTAGAGTGTTTTTTTTTTTAGTTTTTTAGTTTGGTTTTTAGCACATCCTCTCATTGGAATATAAGTTTACTTGCTGGTTTGAGCAGAAAATAAAGGATTATAAGGCAGTTCTGTGTCTTTATTATTGGACCGGTCGACTGCGTTCAAATGAGCCCAAGCATGATGCCGCCACCAACATTCCTGACAGCTTATTCAGCGCTTTTAGTTCTGAAAGCCTCACCTCTACTTCTAAAAAATTAATAAAAAACAATCCACTGGACTTTGTTTCCAAGTTTGAAGACGTTTTGCTTCCCATCCAGGAAGCTTTCTCAATCCAAAATGTCTGGAGTAGCGTTTGAGTTCCAGGCTTATAGAGAGGCCCAAACAAAAGCCTTGTTATGGCTTAGAAAACATGCTAATATAACCAAAAAACAGGTCCACCACTTGTAATGGGGAGCTGTTGAGGTCATTGTTGGCCTCCAAAACGCGATACTGGCCTATGCCTCTGATAAGGGAGTCATTAGGGTCATTGTTGGGCTGGCGTTTGATCCCCTCTATCTCTCCAAAGAATATTCTTATCCATGTAGCAGTGTGTTTATAACGGCCGTCTGCTGCCTGCGATGTTCTAAAGCATCTAATTTTCTGAGGTGGGAAGTTTGGATCGGACTGTTTAATAATGTAATAATCTACCAGAATGCACAAACAGGACGATGATCCCAAATACATCAAAGCTGGTTTTTAAATAGACAAACCAGTGGGGGGCGTGTTCCCTAGGTGGGGGGCAGTGTAACTTCAGGGGTGACGCAAAAAAATGATCTATTTTGAGATGGTCTTTTTTTAAATGTTGAGTAAATTAAACAGATAAAATAGAAAAATTTAAAGAAGTCGACAGTTTGGTCATTTAAAGCTACAGAGTGTAATTTTCAGCGACATCTAACGTCCAGACTGCAGACCGCAGCAACATGAACATTTCCCCCCCAACAGTACGGCGAGCGTTACGGGACAAAATGTCTTCCACGACGTCCGCATCACCTACCTTCACAAGTGATGAGGTTTGTTTACATAGATAATTTTACAGATAGTATTCTCAGGCATAATACTGCCATCTATTGTTCAGTACCGTCTCAGTTCATCTCTCTCAACTTGCCGTAGTTACTTTCGAGCGTAATGGGCGATCTCGCAATCGCTAGTTTGTTGGCTCTGCGCTGCCGTAGCACAAAGATGTCTGCCTCCATGGCTGCGAGACCCGCTCCTATGTAATTATAAATAACGAATTCTAAGGCAACGCAAATATTAAGGTTAAGAGGCTGAGCTCGTAGATGATGATAAATAACATAGTTATGTATAATATATTACATTTCTGACTGTATATCCCTGTAATTATTACACACTGTAGCTTTAAGGGAGATTCCCATTCATATAATTGCAGTATTTATTCACTGCATGTGGTTTTCCTTGTTTAAATGATGAAAAAAAAAATGTTGTAGGTGGTGGAAGGGGGGCTGATGAAAACTTCTTATAAACCAATACTTTTGTAGCTTGTATATCTTTAGGACTGATTGTAAAATAGCATTGTGAGGAATATAGAAAACTTTGAATATCATCAAACTTATGAATCCTGTTCCAGTTTTTTTTTTTTATAAGTACAACAATAAAATGTCTATAATAATCAAATTCCTACCCATGATGAATTCATATAAACCTCTGACCTGAAATGTACCCTAACCCCTGACCTTTAACTCCACAGGAGCACGATGAGTATAAAGAACCAACCTAAAAACATCAGCAAGGAGCTACAATACCGATGCTTTCTGATACGGAAACTTTACACGAGGTAAAAAAAAAAGAAAATCTCTGAGGTTAACTAGTTTGGACGGCAGTCTTACCCAGAAGAGGCAGAAGCACAGGGTAGTTGTAGGGCATGACAAACAGGTTGACACAGTTAAGAGCTGTGCTTGCCTTTAGATAACCAAACGGTTGACCCAGGTCACTGTACTTGGCACTATTACTAACAAATACCTGCAGAAACAAACAGAAGACAAAGCAAAGAGTTACTTCAAAATTATATTTGATGCATTATCAAAATGAAGCACAGTAATTAAATTTAAACCGCTTTGAGGAGATATTTAAGAAAAAACACCATCATACGTGTTACATCAACTTGGTATGTTATATATATTATATATTTGATGTGTTTATTGCATTACCTATAATTTTTGCATTTTTATTTAAAAAAAATGACCAAACTTTTCTGGTTCTAATGCCTTTTATTTGCATCTTTTTTTTTTTTATATATACACATTAGCTGTATGTTTGTTTATATTGAATGTATAGACCTAAGAAATAGATGCAGGGAAATGCAAAAAAAATAGGAATCCAAATAAAAATGGAAAACCAAGATAATTACTAAATACCTGAAATTAGTGTAAATCTATAGTCAGAAAAGTAAATTCCGATATCTTTTATATAAATATCAGCCTCCACAAATAACTTTAACACAGTTAAAAAAAAAAAAAAAAGATTGGCGTCCCTTTAACAGGAAACTCGTGTTTATTTCTGCAAAACTGTAAGAAATTCAACGTCAGCAAACGGGACAGAGTTTAATATTTCCTGGTTTGTTGCAACAGCTTTTATCTGTGCAACACTTTGAAACTCAAATTAAGATTCACACTTCAAGAATATTTATATCAGTTAAAAATAAATAAAAATAATCATTACATTGCATTAGTTATAAAATTTTTCAGCTCATGTAATTCAAGTTTAACAAAATGGAGAATCATTTCGGAGGAGGCGAACACACACGTCTGACTGGACGACAGCTCATCTCTGCCTTCTGCTCCCTGCAGACTCATCTGACGGTTCTTATCCCCACAGCTCAGCTTCACATTATGACATTAAAAGAAGAAGTGAAATGACACACGGTCGTTTCTATATTCTGTGAATCCCCTCTTAACTCAATTTAATGCAATTTATTAAGATTAAGATTTTATGAGACTAAAACAAAGTAGATTAAAACAGAGTGAATATGATAAACTATTTTAATAAAAAAATCAAAAAAATATATGTGGCATTAATATTCAAGCCCCCTTAACTTTAACACTATTAATTAAAGGCAGTAAAACCAAATACCCTTTAAAATTCTTTTAATTCATACCAGTCTGTATTACGAAGCTAAATAAAAGTTTACAGTTTGCTTATTAGCTGTGGAGGACTTTAAAGCAGAACCCTAAACTTTAAAAATCTCAAAACACAGTTAAA